CAGGAAACCTCTAATAAGAGGCTGGTTAAACTCGACGTCAAGGCTTAAGTTAAGTCCTCTACTTATTTCCTAATCGCTGTTATTTGCTGAGCTGTGCAGATCCAGCTGCCCAGCCCTCACCCTTGGCAGGTCCTCGTCCCCAAGAGCCTTTCCCTCAGCTCTGGCACGGCAGCAGAGAGCCAAGGAGCCAGCAGCTCTGGTGCCCACAGGGATCACTGCCCGTGGGGCTCAGGATTGCTGTCCCCTGTGCCCAATCCCACCAGGGCCAAGCAGGAGGCTGCCCATTCCCCCTGCCCTCACATCACCTCTCCCCAGCCGTGCCAGGGCTGGCAGGGTTTGGGGGCACCAAGGCCACCCCATGGCAGGCAGTGGGCACCCTGTTGTCCAGTGCGCCCGGGAGGGACAGTACCTGGGAGGCAGCTGGGCTGGCTCGGGGGTCAAAGATCCGCAGTTTCTTGTCCTGTTAATACAAAACAAAAGCAGAGGAGGGTTAAAGGACCCTGAGGGCAATAGGATGTCCAGCTGGAGAGAGCAGCACCCTCTCCTTCCTGCCCATCACTCTCCTGCCTGCAGTGCCTGCCCCTACGGGTGGTTTGCAGAGTGTCTTCCAGGTCCTGCCTCCCTTCACAGGCAGGGGTGCACCCCCAGATCCCCCCCAGTCTCACCCGGACCCAAACACCCTCAAAACTGCTGCCAGAGAGGGGGGGAAGCCTCCAAAGCAGAGCCAGGGCTGGAGCCTGACCTTGCACACCACCCTGCTGGTGCACCCCAGCATCCCCCTAGCCCGATGGACCTTGGGCTTGGAAAGGGGCACAGAGGGAATGGGGAGGTGCCACGGTGACAGTCTTGCTGCCAGGGCACGCCTGGGGAGCACCCGCTGTGCCACCAGAGCCATGAGCCATGGCACAGGGTGCTGAGGGCCCTGGGGGCTGCACTGCACAACGGGGGGCTGACCTGCACCCTGCACCCTGCTTGGGGTCTCAGCCTCCATGCTCAGCCTGCTCTTGGTGCCGAGCTCCAGCTGCTTGCCTGGCCAGGCCCTGTGCTCCATCCCGGGCCTGCCTGCCCGCTCAGCTCCTTGTGCGTGCTCAGCTGGGCTTGCACACTCACCCTGTGTGCTCCGTGTGCTCAGCTGGGCTTGCACGCTCACCCTGTGTGCTCAGATGGGCTCGCAGGCTCACACTGTATGTGCAGCTGGGCTTACACACTCACCCTATGTGCCCATCTGGGCTTGCACACTTGGTCCGTGTGCTCAGCTGGGCTTGCCCTGTGTGCTCAGCTGGGCTTGCACGCTCAGCCTGCATGCCCAGCTGGGCTTGCACACTCACACTGTCTGTGCAGCTGGGCTTACACACTCACCCTATGTGCCCATCTGGGCTTGCACACTCGGTCCGTGTGCTCAGCTAGGCTTGCACGCTCACCCTGCGTGCCCAGCTAGGCTTGCACGCTCATCCTGCGTGCCCAGCTGGGCTTGCACGCTCATCCTGTGTGCTCAGCTAGGCTTGCACGCTCATCCTATGTGCCCAGCTGGGCTTGCACGCTCATCCTATGTGCCCAGCTGGACTTGCACGCTCGCTCCTACCCACCCAGCCCCCCTGCAGGGCCCGGCAGCCTCCTTGGCCTGCACACTCAGCTCGGCGGGCAGGCTGCTGGCTCGGGGCACACACACCCCCCGCCTGCACACTCAGCAAGGAGAGCAGCCCGCTCGCTGAACAGCCCTGCCGGCTCCTCCGGCTTTCCCGGG